TATATATATATATATATATATATAGGGTGTGGTTTCTATAAGGTTGCAACCTTAAACAATCCAATTAAGGCGCACCTCCAAATTTATCATAGCATATAATTTTGGTGTAAAAAATTCTTAAGATTATCTGAAAATGTATTTTTATATCTAATTATAAAATTTTAAACTCTAAAAATGGTTAAAATGAAGTAGATCTATAAACATATGAAAATCTTGAAAATGGATGGTCTAGATAATGTGTTGCGAGATGCATTATTTCTGGAACTTAAATATTTTTTTTTTTTTTCATATTCGTTAATCTCGATGTCGAGATGATCAATTAGAGGATTTTTCAACATTAAAATAACCTTTTCCGATGGATTTTTGAGGTGCATCTATAATTCTACATTTTACGGTTGCCACCTTATATAAACTTTTTTCAATATATATATATAAGGTGAAATGTTTGTGAACCACTTGGCCTACAAAACAGTATAAGCCGGATGGCTCAAATTGAATCGGAGCTCATCCAACAGCCAGCGTACATGGTCACATTGTCATTTTCAATCTTCTTTCTATAACTCCGTTTGAGCTGAAATTGTAGGAGGAGGTGCTCCTGACCTACGCACAGAAGGGAAACATACTAAAAATCATATGCACAAAAAAACATGAGCTGTTGGATGCTTCAATCTATGCTATCCTTCTTCTAACTGTTCCATAGGCACTCTGACTTAAGGAATTCTCATCCACACACACACACATGGAAAATATTAAAAAATCATGTGCACAAAAAGAAAGGTCAAAAATTCCCCCACCCCTTTCATTGAATATGGGCTGTTGGATGCTTCAATAAAGGCCATCCTACCTGCAACTGTTCTGTAGGTGGTGTGACTCACAAAATCCATAAATTTCAAAATGGGTGACTCTAAGAGTGTCATTGAATAGACAGAAAGCTCCTAAAAAAAAAATTCTTATGACTTTGTGACTCACCCCAAGCCATCCAATTTGACATCCAATGCGTGGGAATGATTGTGACCTCCAAGATAAATAGTCTCTTTGTAGACAATTCCATATATATATATATATATATATATGTGTGTGTGTGTGTGTGTGTGCGCGTGCGTGTGTGTGTGTGCAAAAAGCTGGGATTAGCCCACTAGCTCATATGAACATATGAGCCTAACAATTCAGATTGAATCTGGGCTGATCTGACGATCACGGATATCCAGTAGTGTTTGAATTTTAATTTTTTTTCTACAAATCCAAATCAATCATTTGAAATTTTAAGAGTGTGTTCATAAAAAATAGTTGAATATTCGAAAAATATCAAAAAAATATTTTACATGAAATAAATTGATGAAAATAACCCCCAAAAGTTTCAGGGTTATTTTAGTCATTTTTTTCATGAATAATTTTTTTTTTTTATGTTTTCATTAGGTACGCATTGATGAGAAAAACACACGCCTAAATTTTCAAATTATTTGGATTCGTAGAAAAAATTAAAATTCAAACACGAAATGAAGTCGTGACTGTCAGATCGGCCCAGATTGAATCTGGGCTGATTAGCCCACTAGCTCATATGTTCGTATGAGCCCAATGGCCCAGATTGAATCTGGGCCATTGGGCTCATACTACGAGCTAGTGGCTAATCGTCTAGCATTTCCTATGTATATATATATATATGGACAGGCACTAAAATGGACAATGTTTACACCATAGG